TGAATGCTTCAAGAGTGAAAAAAATAAATAAATAAATAAATATATATATATATATACACTGTGCCTTTATTTCCCTATCAGTTTATTATTTGTGATTTTTTATTCCTTTGATATATGATCACGTGAAAGCTGCAGAGTGGTGACATCTCTTTCAGTTTTCATCTTCATTTTGACTTTTTGATGAACTTTTCTATTACTAAATTTTTTAAAGATCTGAACTTGCTGATTTTCTTACTTATTCTTTGTTGGACAGATACTGTTAATCACACGTTTTCTGCAGCATGAGCACCATCATGGCCGGCCTATCAATCAAGTATGATAGTAACTAATTATAACCTTCTAATGTGCATGTTTCTAATTGTCATTGTCTATTGTGGTTTCAAGTTACCCATGTTATTATGTTAGCGATATTATGGCAGTGTTAAAAATAATATCCATGTTTGCTTTATAAGTTTTCCTTCCTTCCTTTCTTTTCTATGATTACTAGGTGGCATGGCTTGTGCCAGACCTGAAGGCACCTAGGTCCAACAGTTTTTGACTTTTTTTTGGTGGGCTGATGGGGGTGGGGTGGGGTAATTTTCTGGAGAGAGGACAAGTTACCCATGTTATTATGTTAGCGATATTATGGCAGTGTTAAAAATAATATCCATGTTTGCTTTATAAGTTTTCCTTCCTTACTTTCTTTTCTATGATTACTAGGTGGCATGGCTTGTGCCAGACCTGAAGGCACCTAGGTCCAACAGTTTTTGACTTTTTTTTGGTGGGCTGATGGGGGTGGGGTGGGGTAATTTTCTGGAGAGAGGAAAAAAAAAAAATGAAAATTAAAAAACGCTGAGCAGCTGGAATCAGAAGTTGAATGTTCGTCTCTTTGGACGGGATGGGCTGGCCATCTTTGATGCCTCTAGGAGAGTTACAACTCCACTTCTTTTATCTGTCTCTCACAGTTCATTGTGTTCTTCATTTCTCCCATATTCTCCAAGACAGAGTGCATGTCAAATTGTCATCAGAATGTATGAAAACATGTTTAGAAGTAATCTTTATTGTCTTACTATTTACTGTTATTTCCTCATTTAGTTTCTTTTGTGGCAAAAAAATGTCCACAAAATACTTTAGCTCTGTTTGGTTCTGCTAAAATTTAGATTTTTAGTAGATTTTGATAAAAATTAATTAAATGTGTGGTTGAAAATTTGATAAAACTTGTGGGTCCAATGAAATGTATGGTAAAAATTAATTGCTTACTTTGATTTAGATTTTTATCAACTTTTTCAGCTAAATCGAACATAGACTACGTTTAATAGGATATATGAAGTATAGTCTAGCATGACGTACAATTTACATATATTGTGCCTAGTAGGACATTGAGCAACTAAAATTGTGCCTGGCAATGAGGCAGAGACTTTCCCTTGCTGAGGTTCCCTCTGGTCTGTTACCTGGTCTATAAAATGAGAAAGAGTCCTGCAACTGAAGCAATAGAGTTGAGTAATGTGTTATATTTTGGCTTCTTAGAATATAATACAAAATTTTGTGTATTGAACAGTACTCGTCTCAGTTCTACTAGGTGTCTCATCAGGGGAGTGCTTGTGTAGTTAATAATTGGAGCCTACCTAGCAATCACTATCCGATCATGCTACGTATCGTACTCGTGTACTGTTCATCCTGCAAAAGATGTTTGAAAACCTTTCCTACTCCGATACAAATGAGCACACTTTATGAGCATCAGACTCATTTTCTTATGTGGATAGAAGACAACATGACAATTGAAACCTGATATGTACCTGGTATAATGACAGTTTACCCAACGCACTCTTAGGATAAATGAGAACTAAATTTCATTAATGAACTGGAATTACACTGGTGAAAGATCTGTTATACGAATGACATCTGAAATACAAGGAACTGATTAAATGAAGAAAATAACAAGGATATAGATGTGAACATTCGAGAGGTCCACTACTCTCCTACTGATAACCAATTTCTGCCTACTCAACTGTAGCTCCGTTCCTTTATTTATAGGTTGCTTGTCTTCTAGACCGTTCCTTCCCCAACCAACTCATGTAACTGTGCATGTTGTCTCTCTTCTTGTGCATTTCCCTTGCTACCCCTGTGCCTTTGATAAGTAATTTGTATTGCTGGTCTTACATTATTCCCCCCAACAAGACTCAGCTTGTCCTCAAGGTGAAAGGACGGAATCTGTTGTTTTAACAAGTCATAGGATTCCCAAGTTGCTTCAAGTGGTGGTAGCCCTTTCCATTGAATTAATACATCAAGCCCTCTAATGTTGTGACCGAATCCGGGTCGTACCCCAAGCACTGCTTCAGGTTCCACCAACATTTCCAACTCCTCATTCAATTGGCTGGGTACTTCCTCCATAGCTTGTGTTGCTCCCATTGCTTTGTGCAACTGTGATATGTGAAAAACCGGACGAACGCTACAAGTAGATGGTAGTGACAGTTTATATGCCACAGGTCCAACCCTCTTCTCAACAGCAAATGGACCATAGAATCTTAGACCCAATTTCTCGTTACTTTTAGCTACCAATGTTTTCTAGCGATGGGGTTTGATTTTCGAGTATAACAAATCCCCAATCTGGAACTGGACATCTCGATGTTTAGGTCTGATTTTCAAGTATACCAAATCCTCTATCTGGAACTGGATATCTCGGCGTTTAGCATCAGCTATGTTCTTCATTTTAGCTTGAGCTCTGAGTAGTTGTGCCTTTAATTGGATCCCTTCTCGATCCTTACTAAGGCTGGGGGTTCTCTCCCATATACAATTTGAAAAGGAGTAGTTTTGGTAGCTATATGAAAGGATGTGTTGTACCACAATTTCGCCCATGGCAACCAACTGAACTAAGATTTTGGCCGCACTGAGGCAAAGCAACGAAGATAAGTTTCTATAGTGCGGTTTAATACCTCTGTCTGCTCATCAGACTCAGGGTGATAAGCTGTACTTCGGCGGAGCTTAGTTTTTTGCAACCGAAATAACTCCTCCCAAAAATGGCTCACAAAAACCTTGTCTGGATCTGAGACGATGGAATGAGGTATTCCATGGAGCCGTACCACTTCTTTAATGAAAACTAACCCCACACTAGCCGCTGTAAAAGGATGTTTGAGCCCCATAAAGTGCCCGTATTTACTCAGTCGATCAACAACCACCAGAATGGTGTCCATATTTCCAGATTTAAGCAGCCCCTCTAGGAAATCCATGCCAATATCTTCCCAGACCCGATTCGGGATAGCTAGGGGTTGTAACAGCCCCCCCGGGGATAGGGCACTATACTTGTTTTGCTGACAAACGGCACACTAACTGACATACTTGCTTATATCTGATTTCATTCCCTCCCAGTAAACACTTGCTGCAATTCGTTTGTAGGTCTTCAAAAATCCAGAGTGCCTCGCTAATTTGCTGTCATGTCCCTCTTGCAACATCATGGGAATTAATTTTGATCCTTTTGGTAATAACAACCTTCGTTTGAATAGTAATTGACCATGTATTATCGTATAATCTGGCCTGCTGGAAGGATCTCGGATGATATCTTGAATGATCCCTTGCAACTGTGGGTCTGCCCTTACCTCCTCTGTTAAGACCTCCAATTGTATCACTGCCGGGACTAGTATTGCCATTAATTCGGCTGAAGAACTCACTCGGGATAGTGCATCAGCTGCTTTATTTTCACTGCATCAGCTGCTTTATTTTCACTCCCTGGGCGATATTGAATTTCAAACTGATACCCCATCAATTTCATTAACCACTTTTGATAATCAGGATTTACCTCCCGTTGCTCCATTAGAAATTTCAAACTTTTTTGGTCAATCCAAACAAAAAACTTTTGTCCCAGCAGGTAATGTCTCCACTTTTGGACGGCAAACACGATGGCCATCAGCTCCCGTTCATATGCTGATTTTATTCTCCCTTTCGGATTAAGAGCATGACTAAAAAATGCGATGGAGTTGAAACACGGAAAAAAAAAAAAGAAAAAAAAAAAACCCTTGCGCAATTGTTCTGTTAAAGCCCACGCCAACTTGCCATAATCCTTAACAAAGCGACGGTAGTGCCCAGTCAACCCTAAATATCCCCTCAACTCCCTTAATGAACTAGGGCTCAGCAGTGCCCAGTCAACCCTAAATATCCCCTCAACTCCCTTAATGAACTAGGGCTCAGCCAATCTACTGTGGCTTGAATTTTTGACCTGTCCGCCGCTACTCCATGATGGGAAATGATGTGCCCGAGATACTCTACTTCTAACTACCTGAAACTACATTTTTTTCGATTTGCATACAATTGATGTTGGGATAACACCTGCAATACACTCCTCAGATGCTCATTATGCTCCTCTTCATTATGGCTGAACACTAAGGTATCATCAAAAAATACCAGAACGAAACGCTATCCTCCATTTAATTTATTGACGGATTAGTCAAAACTACATTTCTAGTCTATTACTATTCATTTACTATCTACCTTCATATTTAGAGGAAATTCCCAGCCTTAATTGACGATTCGAACCATTTTACTTCAGGAATGTCTTTGACTCTCGTCAAATGCGTATATCAGTACAGGGAAGTGGGGTATACCTAACTAGGGAACGAGGGTGCAGGTAAATAAAAATTTTTGTTGATTTGTTCATATTGATCTATATTTCATGAGGTTTCACTGTTTTCTTTTTACCTAACTGCATAACTTTTGCAGTATCGACCCACTTTACGTTGATGATCCTCTTTTTCCAACAAATAATGTTGGACGAAACTGTTTTCGCATACATCAATGTATCAAGGTCAGCTGATAATCATAAACTGAACATTTTTTATTTGCTCATCGAAAGAATTAAATTGAGGAAGTTAATTTTTGTCCTAATATTGTGGTTCCTTTCATTTCTGTACTTCCCAAATTTATCCCATATTGAATTCCTCTTCAAAGATTTAAGCAAAAAAAAATTGTAACTTCATTTGAAAGAAAGGTTTTTGGAACTCGACATTTAAATTAAGAGTGGGCCAATCCATCTTCTTGTCAATTTAATAGCTTGTATTTGAATTCATTGAACATCTAGTTATTTGTAAAATTCCGCTAGCTGGTGAATATCCACGTCCGTATTGATCAGAGAGTATATTGTTCTGATGTGCACAAATCCATTTGGACATATCTGTGAGACTTTTGACTCTCTTCCTGAATGTCCATTTAATGCGTGCATGGATCACTATTTTCTGTTATCTATACGAGGGGAGTTATGTACTGAGAGACTTCTCTGCCATAAAATTTATGTTATCTCAAGTATTTATAGGTCATGATATTTCTTATTGATGTTGAAAATTGGGTCAGCTATTGTTCTCATCTCGGCCTCTTGAACTCTTGGGGCTGATTCGTGTTTTCTGTTCACTCTCATGGCCAATTGATATTATTCAAATTTTAATTTTTAGCAGGGTAGCTTTGCTCAGATGGGAAGATTCTATCTCTTTCCTGATATTTTGCACTATGATTTTCAGCTGTTGATGTTAGCTTGGTTTTATTGAATGCAATTGCGTGGTGCAGGCATTTGCAGATGCTTATTCAATGTTGCAGAGTGAACTCATGTGCTTTCCCGATGATGAGACACTTGCTAGGCCCCCCTGTGGATTACTTCCTAAGATTGTTCCGAGCATTGGTCATTTGATGGGGGGTCCTAATTATTAGAACAATGATTTTGAATATTAAGGTACCTGGTGAGGTCTCTGAGAGTAAACATCTTAGAACTGCTGCCCACACCCAACCTAGCACGACCTTTGGAATGTCCCTTAATATCTAAAATTTCTTCCCATAGAACTCCCAAGAACATCTCCAGCATCATCTTCTTTTCATTAGAATCATCAAAACCAAGCTGATGCTTGGATCAGTGATGGTACAAAACAGAGATATAAATAAGACGACGATGAAAATTAAACAATAACAAGGTTATATGCCTGTTTAATATAAAATCAGCGATGATTGATAAACCTGATTAGAGATTCCAATCTTACTCCAGGGAGAGAGAATCAAGAAAAGTGAAAGAGTGAAGATTTTGGAAATAATGAAAGGGCTCATCTTTGTTTAATTTTTATGGGAAATGATAAAAAATTGGATGATTGGCATAGTTTTTCTCTCTGAGAGACCTAGAAAGCCTGGGATTGCCATTCTGCTTGTTGTCAATGTAGGTGGTGGTTGCATCTGGAATTACAATCTCAGGAAGTGGTTAGTGGTTAAAGGTTTGCTAAGGTACAATCTTACCAATGGTGGTTTGCCAGAGATGAGGATCGGCCATGTTGAGGATATTGGGGCAGTGGGGTTTAAGAATTTTTTCCTTTTGGAAAGCGAACATTATTTTGGATAGCTTCGACAGGGAATAAAGACGTGCAGAGTGGAATGGTGGGATCAATCATTTAGTTCCTTTGTTGTCGCTCTTTGTCCCTTTTATTGTAGCCTTGAGTGCCTGCTTTTCTATAACGACTGAATTGCACGGGACATATATTGAGCAAGAGCAAATTGCGTGGATTTTACGGAGGGAAGACGACGTTGTGATGATGGCCATGCACCTGATGTACTGTCATCTGTTGAAAGACGCATCCCGTCCCGGTGAAATTATATGATTTGACAGATTGAAGACGCGAAACAAGGTATGTTACCGAAGTTTTTTAGGAAAATGGAAGTTCCTACATTTGTGTCATAATATCTTATTTTCCCTGATAGGGTTGTGTGGTTGAAGATATCAATGGAGGTTTAGCAAAGAAGCACAGGTTAGAAATCACCCAATCAGTGATCTCTCTCTTGCTTAGAAGGTTCGTTCATGGCTGGCTCGGCACACCAAGATGAAATATTTATGGACAGTGGTTGTGCTAATCATGTATAGTTCAATTGTGAGTAATTTGTAGCTTTTGATGTTTGATAATTATATTATTTATATTAAGTTTGATCAGAATAAAATGGAGTTCTTATTTAAATCAGCAAGGGAATAATGATAGTGCATTGGATTTGGAACATAGTGTAGGAATTATTCCTCTGGAAACATCTCTAAGGCCTCGTTTGATTGCACGAAATTTTTCATGGAATTTGGAATTTGAATTCCAACTTCCAATTTTGACCTGTTTGATTGACAAAAATTTTCAGGGAATTGATTTTTCATGAATTTCTAGGTACAACATCTTAAAGCGTGATTTTTCACCTTTTATTTTCCTAGGGGTTAGATGATTTTTGGTTTTCCACCTTTTTTTTTTTTTTTTTTTAATTTGTTGGCAATGTGAACAAATTCGAGGAACAATTGTAAAAGAGGACATCCCTGAAATTGACAATTTTTCTGTAAAACAAAGCCAAACGAATATCAAAATATAGATGATTTTTTGATTTTTTTTTGTTGGTAATGGAAACAAATTCTAAGAACAATGGTAGAAGTGGATATTCCTTAAATTGACAATTTTCATGTAAAACAAAGTCAAACGAACACTAAAAAAATTTTTACTTCAACATTTTTCACGTGGAAAATTATATCAATCAAATACAATGATTTACAATTCTCAGAAAAATAATTTTTAGGTAATTCAATTTCTTGGAATTTATTTTCTTTTCACCCAAATTTCATCTTCGCAATTAAACATACCCTAAGTTGTTTATTTTAAATAATCGTTGTTCACATTTTTTCACAAGAACTAAGTCGGAACTTGTCGAGTTTTAGAGCCAAATAACTTCATTTAATGATTTTTCTTATGGAAGATGACTGTGTAATTTTTTCTTTAAAACCAAATCTGTATAACTATTTGTTAATAAGGTTTATCGAGGCTCTGTATGATTCTCATTTCTATAAAGATATATTTTTCTCTCTTCTTTTTAACCACATATTTTTCATTAAAATAAAATAATATTACGAGTAAATTAAAAACTTTTTCTTATTTTTCATCAATCTACGATTCTAATTATTATGATATCTTTCCGTTAAACAATTTTAAAAGATCACAAAAGTAGTGTCTCCATTTGGAAGAATTTATGAAAGGTTTAATCGAGCGAGTTTTATTCAGTCACAATTAAAATTTAGCTACTTTTGGCATGTAAAAAAGGTAAAATGGTTTTAGTTCATAAAATTAATACGTTCAAAATAATTAACACCGTTGTCATATAAAGGCATCCATAAAACTCCAACGAAAGAGAAGTGGAGTCTAATGCAAGTTTGTACGCCAAAAAATTCTGGGGGTGGGGCCCAGTCCATATTAACGAACCCCATTCTCACAGTTGGCCTCTTACCAGAACAGGAGATGGGATGTGAGGAAGATTCTAAGCAGAAAGAATCTCCTTTTTCCAATATCCCAAGTTAAATAAATTATTATTTTTAACTAAATATATGCTCCCAGTTCAATAAATTTGTCAAAAAATAATATTTTTAGAGAATACTTGCAAATTATTTTATTGATAAAATATATGTGAGGATAAATGAATTTTAAAAAAAAAATGAAACTCAAACAATGGCTTCCAATAGTATATATATTTATCCTAATCGTATTTCAAGTAAATTATACGAATTATTTTCATGAATTCGGTAAGATGTATCCACTTTATTAATAAAAAAATATTTTATTATGCTAGGTATGAATTTGGATAGTAAATATTTAAAATATTTTCGTTTGATATTTCAATTTGGGTCCCCAACTAACTAGCAGTGTAGGTGTAGCACCTAATTTAAATTAATTCAGTCGGTGTCATTGATTTGGGTGATATGTTAATCGAATATGCTGGGAATTCTCCATTTCTCACTGCTCAAACTTCCCTTTTATACCCTTTCTTTTTTATTTTTAACAGCAACTTCATCACGCCAAGCAAGCATATCCCTTGTAAATATTCCATCTTTTTTACCCAATAAAACCTACCCCCACTCCATTGCTTGCCTTCACTACACACTTTCTTCAATTCCAGTACTCCGATGAAGTTCGGGAAGAGATTGAAGCGGCAAATTGAACAGAGTTTGCCGGATTGGCGGGATAAATATTTGACGTACAAGGAATTGAAGAAACTTGTAAGATTGATTTCTTCTACTCCATCTCCACCATTGTTGAAGGCCGACAAGGAGGAGTTTATGTACTGCTTGAACAATGAGATCGAAAAATTTAATGCCTTCTTCATGGAGCAGGAAGAGGATTTCATTATTCGCCATAAGGTATTCATCCTCCCACTAGTTAAATTTACTTTCTCAGATTTATGTTTGGTAACATGAATAACTTAAAAGTAAATTTACGTAGTGTTTATAATGTGATGTCGTAATTGTTCACATGACTATAGTGAATCGTGAAAGGTGGAAATTATGGAAAGTTGGAGAGTTCAATCCAGGCTCAAATGAACGCTGGTGTCATGTTTAACACATGCACATCATATGAATAATCGTTTCGAGTTTCGACAGTCAACATGTTTGATTGAGCTTGAAAATGCTTTCGAACAAATATAAAATTACACATTTACTTGACCCCAAAGATATTATTGTTGAGATTAAGGATAAAGCATCTAGTAATTTTGAGACTAATATCAAAATAGATTATGTAGATTGTGGGTCCTATATTTCCTATGTTTTGGGGCCAAACATCCCTTCACAAGAGGATATCCTATGAAATTGCTTAGTTTTCTCCGACAATACAATTGGCTTTACTGATAGAGACTATACAATAGAAACGATCAAAATCACGTTTCTTTAATAATCAGCATATTTAGTTTCAATAGCATGTTTAGTACACAAAAAAATGAGATATATATATAAATGCTCACTTGCTCATGACGGGTAGAATAAAACATGTCTACCTTGCCACCTCAGCAATCAAACTTACAATTTTTGACAAAGCCCACGTCAACGCTTGACGGTTGCTCTAGTGACCATCGAGCGGCCACTCAATATATGAGAAAATTTTTTGGTGAAGTTAGTACGGGTGACCGTTATAGCTTGTCGGATGCTGGCTCTGCCACAGTATATAAGCCTCGTAATGAGAAGACAAAAGTCGATTTCATAGTTGGTTTTGATGAATAATTAATGCAGGAATTGCAACAGAGGATTGATGGAGTGATTGATACATGGGGACCAAATGGGACTAAACCATCAGAATTTGAATACGAAGAAGAGATGAGGAAAATCAGAAAAGACATTGTCAATTTTCATGGAGAAATGGTTCTCCTAATCAATTACAGCAACATCAATTACACCGGTAAACTCTTTTATCTCGTCTAAAAGTTTAAGCTATTAAATTCTATAACCTGGAGAAAATATCGCAGGGCTGGCCAAGATAGTGAAGAAGTACGATAAACGAACAGGTGGTTTTTTGCGCTTGCGATTTATCCAAAAGGTCCTCGAACAACCATTTTTCACAACCGATCTCATTTCGAAGCTCGTCAAAGAGTGTGAATGCATCATAGATACGGTATTCCCGGCCGCTGCCTCGGAAGCAGAAGGGATGCTTAATGCTGAAAGAGAAGTAATAACAGTGCCTGGAGAGGGAATTTTCAGGAATACAGTTGCAGCCCTGTTGACTATGCAAGAAATTAGAAGAGGAAGTTCTACTTACAGCCACTTTTCTCTGCCACCACTCAATTTGCCAGAATCTGATATAATTCACTCCTTTCACCTATACCAATTCCCTGATGATATTGCCATTTGAATTTGGGTCAAAATGATGAATTACTCACATTTCCCCCCTTTTAAGGTTTACATGTTGCCAGCAAGTTAAATATTTGTGATATTCTGTAAAATTATAATTTAGAATGCTTGATCGGTCGGACCATAAGCACAAGTGCTCGATTTCATTTACGCAACAAAACAAATTTCGAGACGAGAGAAATTAAGTGCTTGTAAATGGTTTGTTCAACAAAATGTTTTCAATTGTACAAGGTGATGTGAGGAGAAGTTGAACTCGAGTGGTAAGTCCTTGTTTGGTAGATATTATGTGAAGTGATTTATTATTATTATTATTATTTTTTTGTTTTGTGATTAAAATTTAAAAAGTACAAAAATTATTAATTCACATGTAATTGACGGTAAGATACATTCATCGAGTAAGAATGAAAGTCGGCCTTATTGATCTGATGTGATCGAGTGGAACGATCATATTTCAATGAATAAGTAGGAAAGATATTCCTTTCGGAGACTCAAACATTCGTTCTTTAACCAAAATATGAGGAGAAGTTGAACTCGAGTGGTAAGTCCTTGTTTGGTAGATATTATGTGAAGTGATTTATTATTATTATTATTATTTTTTTTTTTGTTTTGTGATTAAAATTTAAAAAGTACAAAAATTATTAATTCACATGTAATTGACGGTAAGATACATTCATCGAGTAAGAATGAAAGTCGGCCTTATTGATATGATGTGATCGAGTGGAATGATCATATTTCAATGAATAAGTAGGAAAGATATTCCTTACGGAGACTCAAACATTCGTTCTTTAACCAAAATATCATTCAAACGCTCGTTCTTTACCCAAAATAAAATAAAATAAATAATAATGAAAAAAAAAAAAAAAGGCTTGCAAACGGGTCTTAATTCCCTCGTCTCACGAAAAAAATCCATTAATGGCTCCACAAATAATAGTAGAATTGGGTAGAATCAATTCAATCCCGCTATCTCTCAACTCTATATGTTCTCCTCGCTCATAAACGTCCTTTCTCTTCGACAATTCTCAATTTGAACCAATCCGATTACCGTGATTTAAGCTTTAGTTATATTTGACAGTGATGGCCCTCCAGGCGTTTATAGATTTTCCACGGGGTACATCGATCAAACTCACACACCCTGTTGATCACCGCCACGGCCAGAGCGGAGGGAATTAACGACGTTGAAAAAATTGATGAGGTAATGCCTAATATTGCGAAATGCGATTATTTTTTTTGCCTATCCCCCTTAATTTTATACATTTCAGCATTGAGCTTTATGTGTTTACTCATTATTTTGTTCTATTTAGGTGTCAATACTCTCGAGAAGAAAAAAGTTGTTATACTAAATTCTGGAAGTTCATGAGTGATGTAGGAGACTTTTGTTTCTCTGAATTGCTGTAGGCTAGTAAAAATGGTAGTCCTCAGTTGGAGTGTGAATGGGAGAAAAGAAAAAAATAAAAGAAAATAATTATGCATAAAATTAGGAATTCACATAGGAAATATCTGTAGACATATTCCGTTCCCCTTGCTAACTGGAAAATAGATGTGCGGGCTGGCTCCCAATATACTGCAGTTCTTCCAAGAACAATACACCTTTAAATGCGAATCAGGCTTTGATCATGTGCTTCTCGATCAGGGTGAACTAGAAGACTCGAAGGCTTAAAAGAATTGAACTATATAAAGTAAAAGTAATAGCATACCATTTTCAGGGCCTGTACAAAAATACATAAGAGAATTGATTTTTGGATGCCAGAATTGAATGGGGGAATGTATACTATTGGTATTCTTGTATCCATTTTGGAATGTTGCATCTTTCGACACAGAGCAATTAGAGTTGTCTGACCGCACTTGTTTGAATGAGACATGATCTGACGGTCCAGACTGCATACATTAGATAAGCACTGCATCTCTTTGATGTGCCTAGCTAACATATCCAATAAGTCACGTCCTTTATTCATATGCATCCAATCATTATCCTCCCAACTGACCAATTACATATATTTTAGCTAACCAGCTGATGGTTTGACTTTTAATGTAGGCGCTACAATTACATGAATTGCCACCTTAATTCCATATTACTTTTGACTTTCCACGGTCACTGTGCTGCTCACAATCTGCCACTTGCCAACATGTTGGTGTCACACGCAATTCCATTAGGAAAACCTGAAGGCTCCTTGGCGCCTCTGCGCGAGTGGTACGTGCGAAGTGCAAAGTGTGCTACTATGGCGTCCATTATGACGTTCCTGGGTGTGGGTAGCATTAAATTGCTGGAGAATGTTTTATAGACAAAAAATTCTTCCCCTCCTTTACTGCTAGGAACATTCTCACTTAAAGAAAAAGGAGACTCATAATGCAAGGGTACTTTGGAACTTACATGGTCATCAATATTTGTTTTTATTATTCAATGACACAACATTAATGTCCTCATGTAGTATATAATGTCAACTTACTTTCTCATTAATCAAACATGATGTCCACTAATAATTAATTGCCCATCATAACCAGAACTACTGGATTGTTACTACAGTGGCATGAGGAATAGTGTTAGTAGAATACATTGACGATAAAAGAGATAAATACGAAGACTTTGGGTTTAGTAGTATCTTTGATGCTGCTATTATTGTTTCTTTGGATTTCAATAGTCATGTATATATTTGTAACAGTTTCCAAGGCTAAGGTAATGTCCTCATGTTTAAATTTAAGGCTGAAAATCTGGTGAAAAAATCTATGCTACTTCTATAGTTCTATATAACTTTGTAGAGGTCTAGAAATTCATTTTGACCAATCGAACCTTCTCAGGCTGTTAACTTTTATGAATGAATAAGATATCTGCTGAGTATCTGAGCATCTATTTCAGTTACTTATTGTACTTCCTAATGGCAATTAACTCCCATAACTTCCTTATTTCATGTTTCCATCCCTGTTTGTGATCATACAACAAATTTAGATGACTGTTTTCTGGATAAATGAGCCGTAATAGGAATTCAATTGCAGGCTTTTGCTCGGACACCTTTGACTTGTATTAGTCCAAAAAAGACATGGGAGGGAGCTCTGGCGGGATTAGGTGGTTGTATATCAACCTCTTTAGTATTAGCAAAAACCCTAGGCTGGCCTACATCTGTCCTAAGGTACATAGTTTTATCCCCATCACATGATATTCCAGCATTCCATCTAGGGTTCAGAAGAATTAAACGATTCTATGTTTTTAGCTAAATTTCAAAATTGTTCTTTGGAAGTTTCCATTTGCATCAATTTATATATTTCTCTTGGATGGTTGGTAGTGCTGTAGCATTTGGGTTTCTGAACTACTTTGGTTATCTTTTTGGCGACTTAACCGAATCCATGATCAAGCGTGATGCAGGGGTCAAAGATTCAGGATCCCTCATACCCGGACATGGTAATGTCTCTATATCTTAACTATTTTTACGTGTCATGTGGTAGACTTGATCACTGTCCTGACCTGGGTCTAGTTGCAAGTTTCATCCCCTTATCCTAGGTCACATGCCTACACTTAACCGGCAGTCATAACTATAATGATCTTAAGGTAGCGAAATTCCTTGTCGGGTAAGTTTCGACCTACACGAAAGGCGTAACAATCTGGACACTGTCTCAGAGAGAGGCTTGGTGAAGTTTTCTGCATTCTGAACATGTATGACATGACTATGTGGCATGCTTGGACAACTTTATGAAACGAATTCATCAAACAATAGTAATTTTAGCAAATAAACTTAACATATGACCAATTTTGACCTGTATGATGGATTCTAATTAGATGATCATTATTGGGTTTAACATGGTTCTGCAATGTTGTCGTTTTCTTTTATGATCAAGGAGGTCTAGACTCATTAAGAATTATTTGTTAGGATGGGTATATCTTGTGTGTATGTGTCAAGTTTTGATATTCAGACAGATTCATTCTAATGATAACTCACAAAACAGGTGGGATTCTAGATAGGATCAACAGCTACATCTTTACAGGGGCACCGTCTTACGCTTTCGTCGAAATCTTTCTACCATTCTATGGAGTTTGACGAATTACTTCACTTGCTGCAAAGAGAGAAAAATTCGCGTATCTTCTCTCCTTATAATTATACTTGCTGCAAAGAGACAAAAATTCTCGTTATCTTCTCTCCTTATTTCTTGTTTAAGGGAGGACTAAAGTATACTTCATGCTCACATCTTGGAGCTGGAGTCTTGAAAATCAAACCGGGGAATTGATGTCACATTTGGAACTCCACCAGGTTCATTTTTTCCACATCTTATTCCTTATTTGAGAAACACTTCACTTGACATCACATGGGATCATTGGGAGGCTGTAAGTGGGGAATTTTAATAATGTGGATGTCTATGGATAGGCCAATCGTTGCCTGTGGATAATGTTGGTTGGCATGTAAAGCCCTTTTTGAAGGGTGACATGGATATCTTCTTTTGAGTGCATAAATTGATCAATAAAATGCTGCATTCTGTTGTTTCATTTTTCAGAAAATGCCTTTCAGTAGTGTATCTTTCATGTGTAAACCGCATTACTAAAAATATGAATCCAAAATGTTTTCTGCATTTGGTAATATCTGTTCAATGATTTCCCCCTGCCAACCAACCACGTGGGTAGGGGTAGGATATAAAGCTGAAGGAGTGTGGGAGAAAAATTCTGTGAGTTGGAACATGCATCTTCATTAAATGTGTTGCACATGATACCTGATAGTCAAATCCCGCTATACAGAGTTTCAAAGGCGTCACATTTATTTTTTTGTGAGGATGTAGTTCACTTAATAGTTGGCCTAATTTTCTGTGTTAATTTCTGGTGTCAATTATAGAGATCAGTTGGTGAGTCATCTTTAAATCGTAGCATAATATATCTTTGCTTGCATGTTCATTACTGAGTGAAGGTTTATCTGCTCAAAGATCAATTACAATGCTGTTGTAGTGATAAAATATTAGGCGGCAGAAGAAGCTTTGGTCTTTATATAGCCTCTGTTGGGGATTGATTATTAGTAACTTCTTTGAAACTTATTAGAAGTTGTGGAGATCACAAAATGTGTGGATAATAAAAAGTAGTAGTCTTGAATGTGTGGTTGAAATTAAAGTTTGACTTTGAGTGGATAGTAGAAGCAACTTTTAAGTTACTCATTATGTTAGCCAGACACAGTGATATTAATTGTTTGAAATTTGATAAATAAATGGTTCTGGTTCACCTATAAGAAAATACTGAGGATGGTTGTTTGAAATTTGATAAATAAATGGTTCTGGTTCACCTATAAGAAAATACTGAGGATGGGTACATTTGGTAAAACAATACTACCATGCTTACCAATCTGATAATGTTGCTTCATAGCTCATACATGAACTTTTGTTTAACTTTGTTTTCACTATAATTTATCGTGTTATACGTACATACTCCTTCTGGTGTTGGTATTTATGCCTTGTGTTGCATTTTCCACAAACCTGTCTTGATAAAGAGCATGATTGATGAGGTTTCTTGGACAAATTTTCTATATAGGGTTTGTCAAAAATCACGGAAATCTTTTATTTAGACAGAAGTCTATAGTTCTTTTTTATATCAAATGAAATTTTTGTTTTTCTTTGTTTTCATTTACTCTTTGAACTTATGCAAAGTTTATATTTTTTTTCAGCTTCATGGTTGAAATGTTATTTGTCTTCACCATGATGATTGCTGTAACGTTGCTTACCTTGGTTATAACTTATAATTATTATCTTTATTGAAGCAAAATGTTTGAAGTATAAAAAATCTTCTCATCCTAAGCTTTTGAACTGTGCGCGGCTTTATCATTTGTCATTTGACTTTCAATGCATAATTGATAGAGATATATACCAGAAACAGGTCAAGGAAATCCAATCCACCCGCCGTAGATTACACGTAAAATTCATGTTTGGGTTACAGTGTTAAATGAGATTAATAATATAATGAATTGAATTCTTATTATTGTTCAGTGTTATCTAATCTTGTGGGTCTATCTTGTATATCACTGTCATTGTGGGCATTCTATTGGTATTCCATGGGAAAATAGATTTGTCATTTCTTGGCATGTCAAGGCCGAAATTAGCTATTTCAAATAAAGCAAAATCTAAACTCATTATTTCTAAAAGCAAAACATAGACAGGACAACACTAAACAAGAGGTTTACAAAGACCTCTGCTTTCACGTGGATTTGTCTCTTTAACCTCTCTACAGGCCACACCGCGTTTCGTGTCTGCAACTTTGTGTACTCTACCTTATTTATTAATTATCACTTGGATTATTTTATGTACAATTAAGTAGGGCATAATTAGGGTCTACTTGGTAGGGCATCCTCTTCTTGCAGAAGAGGGTAAGTTCCTCGAGTCAGTTTGTTTTAAAAACTCTTTAGGCATTTCTGAAAAATTATCCAAATATGTTTAAAAGCAACTTTTTAGTCTTAAAACAAATTTTGAATTTCCTGCCAAATGGACCTTTAGTACGTTAAACTAGATAGAATTAAACAAATCGAAGCATGTTGTTGATCTCGCGAATTGGACCTCCAAGTGGTCAATCGAGAGCCACTCCCCGCGTTTCTCCCTGCACACAACAAAGCACGGTCAGGAGCACATGGTCGAAACCAATGGGGGTGGTGGCTGTCACATACACTTCGACGGTCAAGTCAATGGTCGATGATCGGAACAGTGTCGGAATTGTGCAAGAAAGTGGGGAGGAGAATATATAATGCTGGAATGTGGAGAGTTTAGTATGATGTAAGTTTCATCGCCTTTGCCTCTTGTCAAACTTTGAGTATTTATAGATGAGGAGCACCGTTGGATGTGAGACACGTGTATGCATCTGACGGAGTGAGACGTCTGCTCGTAAGCGTCAATCAGTCGCGTTTAAAGTGGGTGGGTTATTAATTCTCCTGGATTGAGTTGACATAAGTTTGATGTCATATCAACTAGACTTATGGAGATGTCACATCCATAGAGGATTCTGAAACAAATATGCGTCTGAAATTGGCGACGGAGGTATCTTCTAAGGAAGCACCTCGGATAGCCAATAGCTTTGATCACAGGGGGCACTTCGGGGCGGAGTTATCCGTTAAGGGAGCACCTCGAGTAGCCATTCGCTTAAGTGGATCTAGTTTGTAAAGTGTGTGCCTTACGGTGCGTCGCGTTAAAGAGTCGACACCACTTCGAAACCATGTCGTGGGGACACGTGGCACTTTGTAGACGAGAGGGACACTATTTCCGAAGTGGTTTGGTGCGGGGCGTAACACATGCCATAACAAAGAATGGGTATTTAGGGTTGACCTTGATCATATGAGATATTGAGAAGATAAGAAAGTTGAGATAGAAAATGAAGCAACACCAATTCACCATGCAAATGACCTTTGT